AAAAGGAGAGATGAGAGGAGATAAAAATAGTTTCTTGTTAACAAGCCCTAATGTAATGTGGCCAGGAAAAAAAATGCCTAGTATGCAGTCAAATAGAGCCCGAGACCAAGCATGAAATTGTAAACAAATTAGAAAATGATCTTCTCTGGATAGTGTTGCTTTTGATGTTAAATTAATGTCAGATACATTCAAGCTTATAAAGGGAAAACAGTTTGTTAGGCTTGAGCTATTGTTTTGTTTGAATTTTTCATTTGGTTTATTTTCATATTTATGTCTGTGAGGCTTTGGTACAGAGGAAAGGGAAAGGAGGATGAAATAATATTCCAGGAATTCTCTAGGAGAAAAACAAATCTGCTAACATTGTTTAGTCTTGTGAAAACAGTACGACGTTTAAATGGTTTGAACTTCAGCATTCGTCAACTCCTTGGCCTTTAAACTGTTACTGTTGTATGAGCAGAAACGCAATACTATTTGTTCCCTGATTGGTCCTGAACTCCGAATTAAATTTAATGGACTTCACAACTTATATACTCTTAACTTTGTAATGCTCTATCCTGGAGCCCATACCAAGCCAGAAATTGAAGCCATAAAAAGAAGAGTTTTCCAAAGCACTGAGTATCTTTTCTCACTTACATCCCCAGGGCAAATAAGAGAAAAAGAGTCACCTGATGTTCTCGTATGTTTGTCTACTCTGAGGAAATGGAGTATGATTTTCTCTAGGCAATATGGTAAATGATAGATGATTTCTAGATCATTCCACAAAAAAAATCTAAGCAGTGATATAGATAAAATAGTAGTAGGGTTCTGATTCATCCTGGTCTTAAAAGAATTTTGTGGTATGTCTTGAGCATTTAACTACCATTTATAATTGGTGTTTTCACAGAGAGTACATCCTGAAATGGTAAAAGAAAATGCGAGACACGTTGAGTTCATATGATAGAATGCCACCTCTTCACACACCGAGAGTCTTTGAGAGGCACCTTTCAATAGTTACATCACTTGCTTGTTTTCATACTAACTTTGCTGTAGGTCGGGTACTGTATAGAGGTCCCTCCAACATCCATCCCTCTATCTGGAAGGGAGGCAGAGCAAGCTCATCTAATTGGCTTTTTGCTCTCTCACTTTTCACCGTCTCGCAGTACAGACTACATTTACATTCCCTAAAATAACATGTACCCACCCTTCTCTCTGGAAAGCTCATTCTTTTCTAGCCCAACTGACTAACTGCTGCTCATTCTCTAGTTTCACCTTTGCCTCCTCTGAGAAGATCCCCCCTGATTTGTCCTTGTGGACATCGGGGCTCCTCCACCAGAACTCTGCTCTTTCTGGACAGTCTGTCTCTACGGACCTGTTTGTAATTGTCTCCACGTCTAAGACCTCTCCAGGCTAAAAACACCTTGAAAGCAAGGAGCAAACCTAGTGGTGTTTGTATATTTATTGTGTACTGCCTGACACAGTAAACATGATCAATGAGTAAATCAGTAAGGAATAAATGAAATAAGTCACTAATAATACTTTTTTTTTTTTTTTTTTTTTTTTTTTTTTTTAAGATGGGATTGCACCACGATGGCCAGGCTGGTCTTGAACTCCTGACCTCAGGTGATCCACCCACCTCAGCCTCCCAAAGTGCTAGGATTACAGGGGTGAGCCACCACGCCCGGCAAGTCACTAATAATTCTTTTACAAACATTCAACTTTGTTAATTATCCCTTAATCTCCAACTATTATTTTTGCATCAGGCAATCAAACACAAATATTTTAAAGCCTTCTACAAAAGCAAAAGGCTCAAATGGAGCAAAAGACAGAAAAAAAAGGAACTAAAGTTGAGAGGGGGGATAAGTTCAAAACCAAAGGAACCAACCAGACACAAATCTAAACACAAGAGACTTTCATTACACGATTATTATCTAAATATCGGTGAGTGGACTGTTGGGTCAAGGTTGAAACTGAAAACAGGTGCAGCATGCATTCCACTGGTGTACAGGAAGGGAGGGACCTATGGATCCAGAAGGAGATGGAATATGGATGAAGTTTTTCATGGACTGGGTGGGGTACTGTGTCCTATGCACCTTGCATCTCTGACTGTAATACTGCACATTAGCCAGCAGAGGGTAGCCACAAATATTGCATGCATTTCTCCTCCCCATTTAATGTTTTCTTCATTTTTCAGATAAATATAAAATTGGCAATTCTTGTCCCCAGAGGTAGAATATAGAAGGTCGTGGGTGTAGTAATTCCTTAGTAACTGGAGGGGGATTTTTTGTATGTTTCAATGTGATGCTCAAAGCTAGGGAACACGGGTGGTGGGCTGGAAAAATGATTGTGTAGTTGGAACTAACTTTGAAGAAGCCGTGTTCTATGCCAAATGCTGTGCTAAGTGACTCATATGCATTAGTATATTTAATCATCTCAAAAAGTCTTAGGATATACTATTTTATCAGTCCCAATTTCTGGGCAAAAGAACTAAATATTAGAAAATTTAAGTAATTTGCAACCCCTGGAATTAAAGCAATATTACTGTAATTCACAACGTTATATAAGCTCCCTCAGCAGAACAGTCCCAGTTTCTCCCCTAGTGCTGTGCTGAGCTTGATCTGAGGTAGTGTGGGACCTGAGATGGCTCTAGTCAGTGAGAGGGTTTTAGGGAAAGAATGAAAGCAGAATGAAAGGAAAAGAAATCACGAGGGTGAATCACAAGGTCAGGAGCTTGAGAACAGTCTGTCCAGCATGGTGAAACCATGTATCTACAAAAAATAGAAAAAATTAGCTAGGCATGGTGTCATTCACCTGTAATCTCAACTACTTGGGAGGCTGAGGCAGGAGAATTGCTTGAACCCAGAAAGTGGAGGTTTCAGTGAGCCAAGATCATGCCACTGTGTTCCAGTCTGAGCAACAGACCAAGTCTCCATCTCAAAAAACAAACAAACTAACAAACAAACAAAACAAAACAAAAAAAGGAAAAAAAAAAGGTATTTAAGACTAAATTACAAGAAAGTAATTGGAGTAAGCTTTTTACAAAAAAGCACTGGAGTAAGCTTGGCAAATGGATGGGGACAAGGTGGGGAAAATAAGATACCAGTTACCTTTTGGGCCCATAAGTCACCAAACAAGCAGAAATGAATAAATTATGAAGAGTTAAGCTGGGAAGAACAAAAAATAAAGGCATCACATGGACGCATAGTTTAATTTAGTGCGCCTCACATGCACTCACTGTAGAGATGACTGTTCCTAAAACATGGTTTTCAAAACCATATTTACTAGCCTAAAGGAAAATATGTTATGATAATCAGGTATTTGTGGGGTTTTTATAAGTTATCACAATAGGTTTCCTTAAATTTTTCTTCCTAATATCCGTAGCTGCGAATCTTAGGCATTTTATTTACTTAAATTGCCTCATCACTGTCTTCCTGTGAACAGTGGGGAAAGTATGTGTACCGTAGTAACATCCTACTTGGCCACCATGTGAACTTCACTGCATCTCTTTAAGAGTTTATGATTAGCATTGACTGGGAGGTAAATGTTAGCAGATTTGTAAGAAACAAAATCAAGATATTTTTAGTTCACTTTGGCAAATATTTTTAAATGTTTACTACGTTGCCAAGCAATGTGCTAGGCACAGGGGTTAAAAGGTATTTAAGAGGCTGGGCAATGTGGCTCATGCCTGTAATCCCAGCACTTTGGGGGGCCAGGGCAGGTGAATGACGAGGTCAGGAGTTCAAGACCAGTCTGTCCAGCATGGTGAAACCCCGTCTCTACTAAAAGTACAAAACATTAGCCAGGCATGGTGGCATGCACCTGTAATCTCAGCTACTTGGGAGGTTGAGGCAGGAGAATTGCTTGAACCCAGAAAGCGGAGATTGTGCCACTGCATTCTAGTCTGAGCAAGAATCCGTCTCAAAAAAAAAAAAAGAAAGAAGGAAAAAAATGTATTTAAGACTAACTTCCTATTATCAAAAAGTTCTCATATTCAAGTGGAAAAACAGAAAATAAGTCAATGACCATAATGGAATAGGGTGAACCCTCCCTTAAAAGCATGAGTAATGTGCTAAAGTCACTAGGAAAATGTAGCTTTTTGGGTCTTCCTATATTCAACAACTTGTCCTATGGATAAATATTTAAGATTTGCCTGGTGCTTTTCTAGTAATGGATAGCTTAGAAGTTTAGTTTTAAAACTGAGCATGAAAATAGTTGCATCCTGTGATGGAGGAGTACCCAGAATTCTGACCATATCTACTCACTAAATTACTGAAGCTACAAAGAAGTAGTACATTCCGCTGTGGTTCCCTATTTGGCAACTAGTACTCATTTATCAAGGCTCACTGCACATATGATACTCCAGCAGCCATGGGGAACAACGGATAAGAGGTTGGAAACAAAAATTTTATAGAGAAATAAATAATTGAGTAGAATGATTTGATTTTATAGCTAGAAATGGCTCAAAAAAAATCTAAAATGATGGTTAATGTCATCATTTTACAGATGAGGGAAGTGAGGTCTGGCAGTAAAAAGTAATCATTTTTCCCAAATGTCATATATCTAATAATAGTGAGGACCAGAGCCCGCAGAAGACTGGTAGGTAATGCATGCATAGTTCCACCTGGGAGCTCTAGCATCAGACAGCTTGGGCTCACATCTGTCTCCGCAAAATGCTGACTGGGTTATCTTAAATTATTTAAACTCCTGTCATTCAGTGACCTCATCTGCAAAATGGAAATACTACTATAGTATCTGCAGATATAAAATGAGTGAATATGTATAAAACAATAATGAGGATTGAAATGTAGTGCAAATTAACAAAGGACATACTAAGAGCTTGGTAAATGCTAATTATTAGAACTTAGGTGGCTTAATTTCTGCATTAGTATTCTTTCTGCCACAAGAGACATGAAAATGAAATGGGATTTTGTTCATTGGTGTTTCTCTGACACAGGAAGAAATCTCTCTTTGAAATCTGTATGCTCCTGTGGTGTCCTCATTCCCCCTCGTGTCTCTTCTTTCAGGGCCAAGGAAATTAAGATCAAGTTGGGAATTCTCCTCCAGAAGCCAGACTCAGCTGGTGACCTTGTCATTCCATACAATGAGAAGCCAGAGAAACCAGCCAAGACCCAGAAGTGAGTCATGAATATGGATTCCACTCATTTCCTCCAGAGGATGGCTATTTTCCAAGTGTTCAGCACTATTCCTCATCTGTAGAACTACCCCCTTCAAATACTCATTAAGGATCATAAGACCCTCAGAGAGTTGGTTTGCAAAGAAGCTTTAAAAAAAAAAAAAAAAAAAAAAAAAAAACAACCCTATCTCATGTCTGAATCATCTTATTGAACACTGGTAGAATATTTTAAAAATGAAAGATAAGGCTCTGCCTTATTTTTGGAAAGACAGACCATACTTATAAAATGACACCAGCCACTTCCTCAGTTACTTACCACACAGTCGTGTGGTAAAAATACCTGTTCATTCACTGTCTTAATAGCCACTCCTGATCCAGTTAATTACGAACCCTGGATGCTTACCTGCCGAGGAACTATCTAAGGCTGCTTCCTCAGCAGGGGGATATGAGAATGTTTCCCTCAGAGAGATGCTAAGAACAAGGCAGACAATGTAAGCCTAACCGTTCCTTCTCCAAGATAGTGGCCCTCAAGGCCCAACAGAGGAACAAAGTCTGTTACTTAAGAATGAACACTCGACTAGCTATTTCTATTAAAGGTACACCAAGTATTGTTTTTCCAATTTGTAAATTAATATTATTGATTGGATTTCTGCAGTCCTCCCTCATCCCCATTCCCCTCTCCCTACATATTCCTCCTGTCAGTTCAGACAACCTAGGGAACTATACTTCTAAAGAATCGTGATGTTATGACGGTGAATCCTACTATGACGTTTCATAGCGGGAACAGTGTGCATTGGCCTGGTCTTAACTCAGGAACAAGACTCCCAGCATTCCCATCGTGCATCATCATCCCTGCTAGCTACAGAGACGGTCACTACCTAGACAGACACACTCCATCTTCCCATTAAAACAGAGATACCCATGAAAATCAAGAAAGGAAAATGGGAAAAAGAAAACACCAAGGTATTCAGACTCCTTCACTCTGCTATCTTAGAGCTTTGAGGATATCACAGAAGTGTGGTAAAAATATGGGAGTCACTTTAACCTCCATTTCTCTTTTTGTATGTAACATTTATATAAAGTGGCCAGCCCATCCTTTGTCCAAATGACCTCAACTTAATATAGCTGGATTGACTGGAAGATAAAGAGATAAGTTATTCTTTTTCTTTTTCAAATCTTTTTCCATTAACCTAAGTGAATATTTCCATTCCCCCTTATTTTTTTTTATTACTTCAAAATGATTCTAAACAGGAAGTGAGGCATAATTGAATTTTCTGCATTTGAAAAGGAGAAGCTAATTCAGTGTGGAGCAGCAGGCACCAAGGGTAGCAGAGAGTAAGAACCACATTTCAGAGCAGGAACAGATCAAAACATCTATTTTGAAGCAAACAATGTGACAATTGTTATTGATCTGTTGGAATTGACCTTAAAAAATAGAGTTCTACATTTCCTGTTTTAAATCTCGGCTTTAACAGTCACATAGACCCTTAAAATGTTGGGCTTACCAGGGATTCAGAGAGAAGCTGTTTTGGAAGAAACCCTGGGGCTGACCATTTATTGGATTATTTGCTTTTCTTGTCTTCCATCCCCTTCCTTCCTCCAGAAGACTAAATTGTTTTGGAAAAATCCTTCATATCCCTAGAGAATAATTCTGTGTCTGTTGCATTTTCAACAGTGACCACTAAAAAAGTTTCCCACTCTCCTCTGAATCCGTAAACCCCATCCCACCTCCTCATATTTGGCAACTTTCTACGCCATTTATCTGACAGGAAATACTGTGTTCTGCATAAGCTCCATCCCTCTCTCTCTCTCTCTCTCTCCTCTCCACTTGAAAATTTCTCTGTATTTTTAACTCATATTCTTCTCTCAGACGAGAAAATAATCCTTCTCTTCACTGGAAGTATTTTTAACCTCTCTCATATTCTTTGGGTTATTGACATCAGTAGAATCAGTTTTTTAAAAAGCATTTTCTAGTTTTTAACATGTATTTTTGAGTTCTCATTTAAAAAAAAATGGACCATTGAGAAAAAAACAGAAAAAAGCTACTTACATTCCTACCCCCTAAAGCCAGCTCTGTTCCCCTTTTAGCATTTTTAGTTGCCCTTTTTCCCTGCGGACCCTCTTCCCCTAGGAGCAAACAGGTACCCATGTTCCATGCCGAAACATTTCCTTCCCACCTTTCTCTCCTTCTGCATCTATACCTTTCTCTTTAATTGGCTAACTGTAGAAAACGAAGTCGGTTCTCATGGCTTTCAGTCTTTTTTGGATCATCTCATCCAGCTTCAACCTTTCTTCCTCACCGGCACTATTGTCTCTAAGGCCCCATCTGTGACTTGTCTGCAGCGTTTGACGGCTCACCAGTTGACCTACTCTTAAAACTCTCTTCCTTGACTTCTGGTCTTCCCCCTGCCTTCCCTTTCTCTGAGTACTTCCACTGTTGCCCGCCCTCTGGATGTGAGCATTCCTTAAGGCTCTGCTTTAGCCCCTCCTGATGAACAGACAAAATGAGTCTACCACATAGGTTTAGTTTGTGGTAACTGTTATCATGGCTTACAATATCATCAATTGTAAAATGTTAGGAGCTGATATAGAAATTCATATAGTTTATTTTATATTATAATTGTCTCCCTTTCCCCTATGTCAGCAATTTTTAACCCCTTTTTTTGGTTTGTTGTTGTAGTGATCATTTTATACTCAAGAATGACCTCCATGCATAAACAGTAGCTAGCCTGTGCTAGTGGAAAAGAGTTAAAGAAAGTTGTCCTGCATACGCTCACCTGGTTGACTTAGAGTGAGCCTGGTTGTGAGGACTAAAGATGTATGCACAATTTCAAGCCCACATATGGATATCAAAAAATGACACGTTTTGCTTGTTTTTAAGTCTGTATCCCCAACCATGGTGCCCAGGTCACCGTTGTCCATCAGGTAAGGGCTCAATAGATGCTCATAGACTTAACCCTAGTCATGAGCAGACTGCACTGTGGGGTAGGAAGGGAGAGGGGACTAGACTTGTCTAATTGATGGTAAATAACTTGAATTTTATTTTCCTTGTTAAGAGCACTGATGTGCAAGAACATTATTAAGACATTTTAAGCATGTGCCAGGCACTGCATAGATTAAAAACCAAATTAAACCGAAACAAAAGCAAATGAAAAACATAACCACAGGTACTTTAGAGAGGTTACAGCTACTAAGGGCCAGCATTGCCAATAGCAGTAATACTGGTTCATGGGACTGGTCATCAAAATCAAAGTTTGGAGTTATTTGTGGCTTTCATCAACCAGGCTAACTCAGGGCAAAACCATCATTCATTTACTTATTAATCTGACACACATTTATTGCAAGGTTGATTGATGTTGTAAGGGTACACCATGGGATAGAGTGGAATGGGAAAAGCTCTCTGTGCATGACAACCTAAACCCTTGGGCAGTGAGTGCATCATTGCCATGTGAGAGACTCAGTGCGTAAATGTGGTAAGAGTAGAGTGAAAAGAGAGATGGCACTTCTAGCAGAGATGGCCACTTCCTGGACCAGGTGGCATTTACACTAGGCATTATAAAACATGTGGCTAATCATCTCTATAAATGTTTGAGTTTCATCTGAAATAGCTTCCTCTTCCTCCCACCCTCACCCACACACAGAAACTCCATGCCCATCCTCTGTGGTCAGCTGTGACCTAGCAAACTGGGACATTTATTGGTCATTTAGATCTGCATCTATCTTGTTTCCAATGAATTTAGACCTAATGAGGACTGGCAAATTCTGAGAATAGGGACAGGATGAACCACTGTTAGCTCCTAGGCTAGTAATCAAAACACTGGGCTTCATGCTGTGGGGGACGTGTCCTGCTTGACTGTGCCCTTAAATCAATTTGGACCAATTTCACTCCCAAGCGGGCTCTGCACATGTCCTTTTCAGGAATTTAATCTTGGCTGTGATGTGCTGCTGTTATTGACCATTAGCCTAGTTCCAACAAGACCATTTGGGACGAATCAGATCAGATAACATGCTTAAGTTTGGTGCACCTGTTCCTGTCATTTCTTCTTCCTTTGCTCCTCTATACTAACCAGAGGAAAAGTGGGGCAGGAAAGTGATTTCATTTAATGAGAATATTTATAAAATCAGGAAATCCTGTGAGTAAACCAGGCTTCCTCTTGCTCTGAGCTAGTTTCTTTTGTCCAATAATTTAATGTCCTGCTGTTCTGTCAACAATGAATAGAAACTTGGTGGGTGTCTATTATTGAAACTACTGTAGCGAAGAAGGTAAGATGTGTAAGGCCTTGTGACAAACATGTAAGTAGGAAATAATAGGCACAAAAACAGTTCTCTACTTGCAATAATATAAAAGAGCCAAGAGGATTTATTGACCTCTAGTAGATAGATCCTTTTCTGGATAGAAGTAAAATGAACCAGAACACTACAGAGAAATAAATTTCTGAGGCATTAGTGTGTTTTCCATCTATGATGGCTGTGTTTCTATCCAGGAAAACAGAAATCTCCCAAGATTATTTCACAAGGCTTGTTACCCTCACTTTGGCAAGTTTACCTCGCAAAGAGTGAACACATAAAACTTTATGAAAAATCATATAATCAGGACTCACAACCTATGCATGTTCTGGAATGAGGAATAGAGAAGGAAAGGAATTTTTCACAATATTTTAACCTAAAACCTACTGCTGTCTTGGATTCCTTACATAAATAAAGTGAAGCTGATTGTGTGCCTGGGACAGCAAAATGAAAACTAGAATAAGCAGCTGTCATCTCACCCAAAGCTGCCTATCTGAATAATTTACCTCTCCTGAAATATCATTGTATAAAAACTAGAAGCAGGAATTTTCTTTTGATTGCCTAGACAGTTGATAAACAAATTAAGAGCTAAGGAAATTCCAGTTTAGGAAAAAACACCTCATTTGGCCTTAATATTCTAATAATGCTTTGTCAGTCTGTTTTGATTTGACAATGAAGAACTCACATCATAATGCAAGAGTTCGAGCCGGGTGAGCCGAAGAGTGTGCAGTCAGCCATTTTTCCCAGACAATACCAGCTCCACTTGACACATCCTGCTGTGAGAGAAAAATTGGTGGTTAAAATGGAATAGCTGCAGGGTTTCTGCATATATAAATGTTAAAATAGAAACAGCCTAAGGAGAAATTATGTGTTGACTATAACCTTCTCCTTTTGAGTCAGCATCTCAAGTATTTGTGTATAACATTCCTATTCAGGATATATTAACCCCTTTTTTTTTTTTAATCAGAGTAAATCTTTTTTTAAAAAGTCTGATCCTGTCCTAAGTAGGTAGGAAAAATGTACCTACAGTTTTTAACATGTAAATTTGCTATGATCACAATCCCAACACAAGGAAAGCCTTATACATTCACATCTTCCACTAGCCTTAATTAGACGGCTTTGGGATGTGGATGTAGAACCCCAGTGCATTTTGCTGGTTCACTTAGGTATTTAACATGCAGTAATGGTGAGGCCAAGAACAGGAGTTCAATCCTTGTAATGGAACAACTGAATTTCAGGAAATTATATTTGGAAAAAAAGACCACAATTGGAACAACTTTCATGGGATTTGCAAGAATATCAAGTCACAGCTTAACGACAAGTAAACTGAACTTCTAAAAAGAGACAGACCTAACCAAATCATTCAGAAAAGATGAATATATGCAATAAAGCTGTATGAAAGCAAACCCAGATCATCAAACCCAATTGTTAGAGAGAAAATAACTCAACCTTCTTTGCCCTGAGCATAGACCATATCATTTCCATCTAAGAGAAACAGGGAGAGTTACTGCCGGTACATGTGGTTCAATCCCTACTTAAGCCATACCCTTTCTCTTCTTGTTATTGATGTAGGCCCTCGCTGGACGAGGCCCTGCAGTGGCGTGATTCCCTGGACAAGCTCCTGCAGAACAACTGTAAGTTGGCATTGTTTTTTTTTTAATAAAGGTCAGGTTAGGGACACAAATCAACAACACCTTTGTGTTGCCTGTGTTCTTCTTCCCCAATCTGGACACTTCTTCAATTTTTGAAGGTAGTATGAACAACAGAAGGGGGCCACAGGTATGTGATTATCCGGTTCACAAGGAAAGGAGAGTCCGTGACACTGTGGGGGAATGTGACCATAAGGTGTTCTGAAGACTCACGATTGTTAGGTTGTGTTCCCATCTATCCTGCTTACTTGTATGAGCCAGGATGAGTGGCTTGACCTTCTCAACATTCTCATCAGTAAAATAGAGAAATTACCTTTCCTGACTTAGCCTATAACAAATTGATAAAGATCAGATATAGCAGTGTAAAGATCACTAACAAGTCATGAGTGGTACCTCCTAGTTCAAACTTCTATACTGTCAACTGCTCTTGTGATCTGACCTGGGTTGTTATCTCCCCCAGCCTCAGTTTCCTCTTCTGGCACCATGCCTTTTACATTTTCATTCAAGACATGACAAAGGTGTTAATCAGTGCAGACTCTTTTCCAAGCTAATGCCAGTGGATCTGTAAGCACTAGGTGCCTTTCCCCCGTCCAAAATCCTTACTGATTCCCTTGACTTACAGTATCAAGTTCAAATTTCTGGTGTTCAAGATCACTGTAACTATATGGCCTGCCTGTAGGCAAACTGAACTCTTCTCTGTTCCATGCAGGGTTTCTACACTTAATTCCCTTGGCTGGAATATCTTTCACTCACATCTCTCTCTGTTAAAATTGTCTCTCATCTAAAACAGATAATTCAAATAAGAAATGCCCAGTGTTCCTTGACCATCCACAACAATTTATCCACCCTGTAAATTTCCAAAGCCATTTGTCTGCACATCTTTTATGCCACTTAATACTTGCTGCCTTCTGTTCTGTTCATAGTTGGCTTCCTTCTATGATAGATTATAAACACACCAATGAGCAAGAGTTAGTCTTTTTCATGTAGATAATTTCACAACACGGCATATATAGTATCAGGAAAACAAATATTTGTTGAATAATTCTCTAAAAGTATGATTCAATTTAAAATACCTCATCTATTATTTCTCCATCTTTATCACAAGAATGGAATATAAAACTTTGTTACATGCTTTGCAAAAATAAGGATTTATAAAATATTTCTCACAAGACTATCACGATTAATAGGCACAGAGTAGATGACAAGAAATGTGTGTTGAATTGAATGTGAACATTCTTTATGTCTTCCTTTTGATGTCATAAGCTCCTGCTTACTTGCAATAGAATTAATCTTTTATTTTTGGAGACAGACCACCACAGTCTGTAATTTAAAACTTTCTCTAGCTTATTCATTTCTGATTCGATCTCCTTTTTTCTTATGCTAAACAAAGTACCCTGCCCTGACACGTACAAGATGTTTGGTGAACATTTATGTAGTGAATGAGTGAATGAACTAATTCATTTTGCTTCTTGGACCTAGAAATTTCATGAGGTCAACTAGTAGAAAAATATTTATGTTTATTAATGGACTTATTGTCTTGCTCCAGTGGCTTCTGGGCCAATAGTAGATTCACAGATGACCTATTGATAAATTATGAATGCTGGTACTCTGAACACAGGTATTTACTACTATTGTCAAAAACCCTGAGAGTTAGCAGAACTATTTTCATGTTTTCAAAACCGTTGAGAAGAATAAATATTTATGTGCCAATATACAATCCTTTTCAGTCACACTAAATCCTTAGGGCCACATGTCTATATATTTCAGGCTTTTAGGAGACAGAGAGCTACTAGAATAAGAAAGCTAGAGTTAGACAGAGTTAAATAGAGTTAAGCCAGAGGCAGTTAGTGTTAACACCTTAGCATTTGTTAAAGGACTGAAGATTTTCAGGTTGCAAACAGATGATTACTGGTGTGAGAGACCTGAGAGCCTCACAGTAATATTTTCTACTTCTCAGAGGGGAAAATATACTTGGACCTGTGTGTGTTCACATATGTGCATGTATATACACATGTATGTATATATATAATCACAATATTTCATTGAATTATATACGTATTTTAAAATTATACCTGTGTATTTATGTGTGTATGTAGTACGTGTATGTATTCTTTGTGTGTTTGCCCGTGTGTTTATATATAAGTTCCACATAATTATCTTCTTAGGTGATTAATATTTTTAAGACCTGGGCAATTCATTTCCCTAATGCAATAAATAGGAAAGCTTTTATAACTATTCTGGTCAATGCTTTCCTTGAAAGGGACACTAATCCATTCAAACTAGCCCAACTGAAAACGAGGGGTCATGGTATGGGTATAGAGACCTCACAGAAAAAAAGGCAAGCCATGGCCCTCTGGGAGGTGAAGCCATCAGTAAGTGACACAGTCTTCCCTCTCTAGTTCTCTATTCTTACTGTCACTGTATTGCTCTCTTCTCCTTTATCTGTCTCTGCTTCTCCCCATGTCTCGTCTTTCTCTACGTTTCTCTTGCCACTCTTTGTTCTTTGTTTCTCTCTGTCTGGCTGTTCCTAGAGAAGAACCAGCAGAATGCCAGGCATACCCAGATAATTCTACTCCAACATCACCGATCTGAAGAGACAATATTTGACCTATTTTCCCAGACATCAGCTATGGAATACCATGAATGACTGTAAGCCAAACCAATATATCAGTTCTTCTGAGAAGTTCTTCTTTGAATCCATGAAAACTAATAGTCTATGATCAGAAACTACCTAACATTAGCTGTGGCTGATGCAAAACAGGTAATGAAGAAAGATACATTTGGGACATATATACATTGAAAACTTCATAACTGGGGCCAGGTGCAGTGGCTCATATCTGTAATCCCAAAACTTTGGAAGGCTGTGACAGGAGGATTGCTTGAGGCCAGGAGTTCAAGACCAGCCTGGGCAACATAAAAATACCCCATCTCTAAAAAAGAAAGAAAGAAAGAATAATAGCCAGGTGTGAGGCAGGAGGATGGCTTGAGCCCAGGATCGCACCACTGCACTCCAGCTTGGACCACAGAGAGAGACCCTGTTGCTAAAAAAAACAAATAAAGACAAACCACTTTACAATCTCTTTTTGTATGTTTGATTTGATAAATTTAAACCATTTAACCTTGAGGAATAGCATCATTGTCAATTTATAAGGGAAATTTGGCAGTTATGTTAATGTAGGATATTGACTTTCACAGTTGCTATATTAAATAGATCCCCAAGAATTCCTTGCATTCACATCTTTCTTTTTATTGAGTGAAAATGAAGTCAACTGGTATCAAGCTTCTAAAAACTATAGGACAGTTAAGCTGCTACTCAATCTTTTCTAACAAGGTTCCTCTCATCTTCCTTCATTTTTCAAAGTAATTTTTAATCATCTGGTCTATGTGACTCTGTTCTGAAAGTACATCAACTTCCTACATGTTTTGCCTTCAGTTCTTTAGGTGGCACCATCTGTTTTCATTTCATAGGCACGTGGGGCGTATACACAGTGTGTTGTTTTTTAAACACAAAAATAGATTTCACATGGGAGTTTAAATAAGACAGTGACATTTAATAATTCCCCACATGACCATTTTTAAGAGCAGGGGAAGAACGAAACAAGCCAGAAACAGTAAAGTTTTTATGTGGCTCTCCCTTCTGCAGGAGCTCTAGAAGGTCAGAGCATCTCCTTAAGACGCCCTTGCTATTTAGATTTGTCCATGGGAAATGAAGGAGCCTGGATCCAGATACATCTTTTTGTTTCTATCTTTGCACTCTCCTTTTGCTTGTTCCTCTTTGGTTTTCTTCCTTCTCATTTCTGGTTCATTTTTGTCATCATCTTCCTTACGGGCAACCATAATTTCCTTGAAAATAATTATTAGAATAAAAGCAATAGCTCACACTTATTCATCCTGTGCCAAGTACTGTTCTAAGCACTTTGCATACATTAGTTAATTTAATGATTGCAATAATTTTAGGACTTGAGTGCCATTACAATTCCTAGTTTTTAGAAAATAAAATTGAGATTAAGGGGGGTTAGGGAACTTGCCAGTGAAATAAAATACAGCAAAATCCATAAATAATTTTTTTTTAAGTTAGTGTTCTTTGATTCTGTCACTTGGAAGCAAATGCTTCCCTGAATGTGTCTTATTTCCATGGGAACCTCTACTAATTGTTAGGTGCACAGATTTAGACTGGGAGGTGGGATTTAGACCAGGGGCAAACAGGTGAAACTCAAACCTCAAACTCAAAGAATTAATAGCCTCATGGAAAAGATACAAAAGAAAACAAGCCCAACAAAAGAACAGAAAGTGAGTGCTTCTCCCATAATGATAAACATCCTCGAGATCAAGTTGATGGTAGTAAAGACTGCCTTACACACGAGGCAACATTGGAGTTGGGTTTTGAATTAATTAAAAGATTAATTTAAAATTTGTAATGAATAATGATAATGAACGCCAACAAGGATTGCGCTACATAATGATAATTATGTTTGATACCATATAAGAACTTTATATGAATTATTTATTTCTTAGTGCAACCTCATCAGATAGTTTCCTTTATCTCCATTTAACAGATGAGGGAACAGAGTATCAGAGAGATTTGATGACTTGCTCAAGTTATTGCAGTAATATAATTTTGAACCAATAAGCTAGAAATGGTGCTTATCAACTATCAATGACTTCATTTTTATCTCCCCTGGTTGAAGAGATTTGTATTAATCTAGTTTTGAGATGGAATCGTGCTCTGTCACCCAGGCTGGAATGCAGTGGCGTAATCTTAGCTCATTGCAACCTCGGCCTCCTGGGTTCAAGTTATTCTTCTTTTTCAGCCTCCTGAGTAGCTGGGATTATAGGTGTGCACCACTAAGCCCAGCTAATTTATGTTCTTTTAGTAGAGACAGGGTTTCACAATGTTGGCCAGAATAGTCTTGACCTCTTGACCTGCCTGCCTTGGCCTCCCAAGGTGCTGAGAATACAGGCGTGAGCCACTGCGCCTGGCCTCACTAATTTAGTTTTTAATATTTTTTCCTTTATACCAAACTAACTTTGATTTGTCTAATGCTCCTTTCATTTTCAAGGCAATTTTATAGGTGTTTTCATCTTGTTCTTACGTAGGGCTCCTAGTTTACATCGATGTCAAAAGTGACACCATTCATTGTAGTGTGGATTACAACTGGGAGTGTTTCCATAAGACCAGATAATCAGGTGGGTTTCATTGACTCTCTAGATAGTGGATGCCTGAAGAGGTGGGTCCAGAGGCACTCTGAGGCTCTGTGTAGGCTCAGCAGGGAAGAACGTGGTGATTTGTCAGGGAGGTATGCTGAAACTCTATTGGGGTGTGGAGTGGATAGAGGAATGGTGATAGGGCAAAGAATAAATGTGTGTTCTTTACAGAATAGAGACATTGGCCTGGATTGTGTTTGACTCTGACCTAATAATAGGATGTCCGTAGGCGTGACAGAGAGAATCGCTGTGGAAAGAACTGATAGACAACCAGAGGCTAAAGAGGAGAAGGGGTCTCAGGGGTGGCTTTAGTGGGACCCTCCAGAGAATGCCCAAAGCCAGGGGAGAGAATGAATAGCTTTATACAACTCACAGACCAATTCAATGGAAAGCCATTTTATGAGTTATACGTTAACAAAAAGGTTGAAATAAGACTGTGGAATTCAGTGAAAGTTATTAAATTACTATCCAGGAAATGGAGTTGCTGCACAGGAAAGTTATTTTGCAAGCTTATTCCGTGGAAATGCCGTCAATGGAACATTGCTGGGGAATCCCAGCATACTTCCTCAGGTCATAAATAGCAATGTTTGGGAGGACTGAGATTTTGTCTCTACGTTTTAAACAGACGCAGAATGGCTGATTCAGAGACAGGCTGAAGGATATGGACTAATGAGAATAAACAATGGACATTTTAACCATGACAGAGAGAGAAATAGGTCTTATATTTTTCTTTTAGCACTTATGTTGACTCTTGTGTCACTAAATTCAGACAAATAGTGCTGGAAATATAGTAGGAAATACTAGGAGAGAGAGAAATACCAGTTACAGGTTATCAAATGGTTTCAAAGTGATTCTTCTAGCCAAGTTTCTAGAAAAAATGTTTTTTTCTTTTTCTTTCTTTTCGCAAGTGTTGAAAATTGTTTATTATACCCACCATTGCTCCCAGAAATATTTTTAATCAATTAAAAATGTATTTAGGGTAAGTACAGGAAAAAGGGACCAAATTGCAAAGTGTCTTGTTTGAATCCTGAAATCGATGGTGACCCTAATGCAAATTAATGATCACCCTAGCCATTCTTCTTTAAAATTGGGTATTGTTGCAGGGTACCAAGGGTATGAGGACAGTAAAAATGTACAGAAGGTAAATTGAAAATGGATAACTATAGTGTCTTTATTATTGCATACATTTTGTGCTTGTGTGAAATCAATGTATTGGCAATGACTAATAAATGAAAATTTAGAGCCTATAAAAAGAATAGGGAAAAAGAATACATGGAAATTAGGCCAAAGGAAATGAATTCAGAACATAAATATGATCTCTAAGCAGAACTGATGTTATGCAGACGTGTCTCCAGGTGGGGGCAAATTAGAGAAAACTGGACCCTAAAGTACTGGTGACAGTAATCTTGCCTTCTGCCCTGGGGGGCAAAGTGACATTCAAAAAATGTTACTGAGGGTGGGTCTGTGATTTTGACACAGCCTCTGGAATATTAGAGCTTTCTCCCTCCTCCCTTTGGAAATCTTTACTTTTCTTAGATAATAAACGAACATGAATTATCTCCCTATAGATATACATTTGTTAGAATTTTGGCTTGTGTGTATGTGTGTGTGTGTGTCTAATGTATGCTGAATAATATATATATTATACAGTATATATATATATATACACAGTATAATATATATATTATACATATATATATATATTCAGCATAAAGGAGAAGGAAAATACTGGATCAGGCCCAAGAATCCTTATATATACATAGTATTATAATTTTAGTCTTATAGTTTTAGTTTATAATTTAAAAACTGTATATATAATAGGCTATATCTATATTTATATACTATAATCTATATAGACTATCATATCTATATATTACATATATAGTTTTTAAATTATAAATCAAAGTTTATTCTACATGAGCAATTGTACACTGAAAAAAGAATCATAACTATATTAAATTTAACATGTTAAGAAAACCTGATGTATAATCGATGGACATGGTAAGTACACTGTACAGTAACTTCATCTGGCCCTTTTCCATTCATCCTTTGGGTCTCAAATTGAATGTTACTTTCTTGCCTTCCCTTAGCCTCAGATGAAGTCAGGACTCTCCTATGATTCTGTTACTACCTTTCATATAGTTTCCTTTCATTGTGTAAGTATTTCTTCTATTTCTTCATTTTCTTTCTACTCTTTCCAGAATCTATAAGCCATTAGGACAGGAACCATGTCTATTTTACTTATCATAGTGACTTATCACAGTGCTTGGAACATAATCTGTACAAAGAGAAAATAAAGAATTGTAAGTAGTTCATAGTGATACTTTTAACATTACTTACATGAACAAGCCAAGTTTTAAATGTATTATTTTCTCCTTTGTGGTTTGTTAAGTGTCCAAAATGGCATTAGTGTTAATAGTGTTCCTTAATATGTAAATAGGTAAACATTTGTCACTAAAATAGACATTGTATTCAGTTGTTTGGAAAGACAACATGGTAAATCCCTCTGTCTAGTTTCAGAGCTCCCTACAGCTGTATACGATGAGCAGGGCTTGAGCTGTGTTTTCTGTTCTCTATCTTCCATCTCTGTCCCATTCCTTTTCCATTCGAATGAAGGGGTAAAGGAAGCTAGATATGAAGGAGCTAAAGCTCCTGCATAGAATAGCCTTGGTAAGCCCTTTCCCTTTCTGTCACAGATACAACATTTGTGTTGGCCTTGTATTTTTCTTCCAGTCCAGGTGCAGTAAAAAGCAGGCAGACATTATTGGACAGTTTCTTTTCCAAGAAGCTGAATCATGCATCTCTTGAGAAGTAGCTTAGAATAATGGATAAATGCATGGACTCTTGAGCCAGACTTCAAAACCTCGGTTTGAATTCTGGCTCGGCGACTTACCAGCTGGTTATTATGGGAAAATCACTTGATCTCTCCGACCTCATTTACAGAATGGGATATTGATAGCACCTGCCTCTTAGGTTTGTAAGGAAGATTAAATGAGTTAACATTTTAAGATTCTTACATAAACAACAAAAATAGTAAGTAAATAAGACTAGGCTATATAGTAAGACTAGGCTGTATAGAAAGGTATGCCATTTGTTAAGTAAATAAATCAATTTCTCCAACTGATTTTTTTTCCTTGCTAGATGGGCTTGCCAGTTTCAAAAGTTTCCTGAAGTCTGAATTCAGTGAGGAAAACCTTGAGTTCTGGATTGCCTGTGAGGATTACAAGAAGATCAAGTCCCCTGCCAAGATGGCTGAGAAGGCAAAGCAAATTTATGAAGAATTCATTCAAACGGAGGCTCCTAAAGAGGTTGGTCTGTGGGTAGGTGGGTCAGTTAAGGGTAGCTCATTAGCTCTCAGGAAGGATTTACATCTGAGACACAGACCTCCTGTTGGGAGCCAAAGGCTATTCCTATTTGTGAATTGGCCACCTTATTAAGCACCTACTGAGTATAAAGGCAGAACAATATGGTCAAGTATTTATGAACATGAATCCGGCTCAGACGACTTTTAGTTTTATGGTTCTCACTTCAGTAGCATATAACCTCTAGCGGGAATCATACCAATTTGAAATCTTGCATGAATTGTTGAGTCTCTCTGAACCTAATTTTTTCCTTTGTGAAAATAAGAATAATGGAGACTATTTTGTGGAGATGTTGTGAGGATTAAATTAAAAAGTGGGTGTAAAAACTTCTTCACATCGAACATCTCTGATCTGGAAATTTAAAATCTAAAATGCCTCAAAGTCTGAAACTTTTTCAGCACAAGGATGCCACAAGTGGAAAATTCCACACCTGACCTCATGTGATAGATCTCTGTCAAAATACAGCCAAAACTTTTTTCATGCACAAAATTATTAAAAATATTACATAAAAGTACCTTCATGTTATGTTTAACGGTATATATGACACATAAATAAACTTTGTGTTTAGACTTGGATCTCATATTAAGATATCTTACCTCATTGTGTATATGTAAATATTTCAAAATCTGAAAAAATTCAAGATATCTAAAACAGTTCTGGTTCCAAGCACTCTGATAAGTGATATTCAACCAGTATATTAGTCCTTTCTCACGCTACTATGAAGAAATACCCGAGGCTTGGTAATTTATAAAGAAAAAAAGTTTAATTGACTCACAGCTCTGCATGTCTGGGGAAGGCCTCGGGAAACTTTCTATCAAGGCAGAAAGCACTTCTTCTCAGGGTGGCAGGAACGAGAATGAGAGTGGAGCGAAGGGGGAAGCCCCTTATGAAACCATCAGATCTCGTGAGAACTCACTCACTCTCACGAGAACAGTATAGGGGAAACTGCCGCCATGATTCAATTATTGCCACCTGGTCCTGCCCTTGACCTGTGGGAATTTTTACAATTTAAGGTGAGATGTGGGTGGGGACACAGAGTCAAACTATATCAACCAGTATCTCAGTGGTCTGAACTCATTAATGCCTGACGAGTATTTCTACAACTTTTCTTTGTTCCTCTTTCCTTTCCCATTCCTATTCCTTTCTCTAAATGCCTCTCTTTTTTCCCCCCTTTTTACTCTTCTTTATCCTTTATTTTCCCACTTGGACTTTGCCATTTACGCTGTAGTTGGGAAAATGGTACATTTACTCATAAATATCAAAATATTACAAGAAAATGGTGCTAGAGATGTTAAAAGTCAATATACCACTGATTGACTACTGAAGACCAGATTTTTGTTGATTTCAAAGAAACTTCGGGGAAGTTGATCTGCTTTTTTCTTCGCTAATTATAAAACCACATTAAAAGCCTATTGTGGAACTAGGGATGGCCACAGAAAGCCTGTAATCCCAGCAGTTTGGTTGGCCAAGGCAGGCAGATCACCTGAGGTCAGGAGTTTGAGACCAGCCTGGCCAACATGGCAAAACCCCGTCTCTATCAAAAATACAAAAATTCGCTGAGTGTGGTGGCATGTGTCTGTAATCCCAGCTACTCGGGAGGCTGAGGCAGGAGAATCTCTTGAACCAGGAAGGCAGAGGTTGCAGTGAGCCAAATGGTGCCACTGCACTCCAGCCTGGGTAACAGAGCTAGACTCTATCTTAAAAAAAAAAAAAAAAAAAAAATTAGGCACCAGGACACCTGAATTCAAATTCTGATTTTCTAGATTCAAATATGCTTATCAGTTCTGTGATCTTGAGGAAGCCACTTAACCTTCTGCATATATGTATTTTTTTTCTAAAAAAGAAAAGAATCATTCTTAGGATTGTTGTAAAGGATTAAATAAGTAATGTGTGTGTTAGCTTCTATGGGAGTTCTGATACCGGCTGGTTGTCTGATACCCGTTGGATGCATCTGTTGGAACATCAGCTACATTACTCCATCACCTATAAAGTGAGATGTGACATGTCTCACTTTTTAATGACTTTCCTCCCCTCTTATGTTTTATTGATGAGAAATTCCACCTCCCTCTTTACCCCTCATCAAATTTTATACCTAGGTTTACTTAGTGACCCTGTTTCCTGGCCCACAGGTGAATATTGACCACTTCACTAAGGACATCACAATGAAGAACCTGGTGGAACCTTCCCTGAGCAGCTTTGACATGGCCCAGAAAAGAATCCATTCCCTGATGGAAAAGGATTCACTGCCTCGCTTTGTGCGCTCCGAGTTTTATCAGGAGTTAATCAAGTAGTAATTTAGCCAGGCTGTGAAATCATCCTGTGAGTTATTTCCTCCATAATAACCCGGCATTTCCCAGTAATCTATATATCTTCCCACAGCAGCTTTGCTCAATGATACCCACATGGGAAAAATCCCAGGGGATGTTGCTTACTCTTTTTGTGTACACTGCTTTGGATGCTTAGCTACTCTCCGAAGGCCTTCTTTCCCCACTCAATTCTTCCTGCCCTGTTCTAAATTAAGATGTCTCCAGTTTTAGTCAGACCCAATCGGAATCACAGAAAAATCCTGCCTAAGGCAAAGAAATATAAAGCAAGAATATGGTATCAATGAATGTGGATTTAGGTAATAGATTTCCACCTAAATTGGTCTGAAAAAAAATCTAAGTGTGGACAGACCTATTTCAAAGGAGCTTAATTGATCTCACTTGTTTCAGTTCTGATCCAGGGAGCTCACTCCTCTATTTCTGAACTTGGTTAATAAAAGGTGATAAGATTTTAACGAAGCAGCCACTGTATATTTTAAGCAAACATGTTATTTAAAATATTGATTCTTCCCTTGGAACACCTTCATGTGAGCTAGGTATTATAAATAAGAGATACAACCATGAATATATTGTGTTTATACAAAATCAATCTGAACACAATTCGTATAGATTCCTATTTTTACCTTCCTCACTACCCCCCCTCCACGTGCCCATAGTTACCAAATTCTGTTTTAAATCAATGATCTAAGGTCAGCAGTGAACTACTTTATATGTATCTATGCTCCTAGACTGTAGGTCAAATGTTTGCATTTTCAAATTATTTAAAATTCTTATTAGTGTAAAATTCACAAATTTCTAAATCCAATCATGTAAAATGAAACTGTATCTTCATTGTAGTAGACTCCCATCTAAATATCAAGATGGCTATACACTAAATAGAGAAAATATGGTCAATTCTAAAATGGCTAATTGTCCTACAAAGCTATGATCATAGACTAATGACATTTGTCTTCAAAACACCAAATTGTCTTTAGAAAAATTAATCTGACTATAGGTAGAGGCCTTCTAAGGTGAGACACATTTAAGGTACACTGCATTTTGCAAAAAAAAAAAAGTAATCTTTTAGCAACCCCAATATTCCCTCACTATTTTGCTTCCTGCATTAGTAAATTTTACTTACAGTCAAAAGCACAGATTTATGCTCCTGATATGCCTTATTCACAGCTAATTGATAGGCCATAGGATTTTTGGTAGGTTTAAACTTTTAATTCCGTATTTCATGATTATAAGTCTTGCTAGAATTTTTTCTAATCTTTAATAGATTTGATTAAATAATGATTCACAGAATTTAGTAACAAAATCAAAGTAAACCATGTATGAGGGTAATCGAGATGAGGATATTGAGTTAACTCAAAAGGAAGAGGGTGACTTTTAAAGGATTAATAAAATTCTGAAATGTTAAGTAGAATATTACATTGTCTAGTCTTGTATTTCCTCCTTTTGTTGCTCTTTTTCATTCACACACTCTTAGTTTCCCATATTTGTAGCTCATTTTTTTGGTTATTTCTTAAGAATATTGAAAGTGAAGCAACTAGGTGACTGTATTCTTCAGGCAAACACCGACTGTGCTTGTTGGATTTTCCCTATTTTTGTGACTTCAAGGATAATTTGACCTGCTGAATACTTGCCATTTCACACTCTCAAAATGGGTAGAGTGGCTGGGTATGCTGCCAACAATTGCTAGTGGTGTGAATTCATTCATAGTTGCCAGCATTGTTTGTGTCAAAAAAACGCTCCTTCATCAAGCAGTTCAGAACTAGGCCAGATCAATGTTGCAGTCATGAAGTTCTCATTACACGCAATTGTGTAAGATTGACAAGAAACTCAGATAAAAATTTCCAGGATGTGCTTCCAGCACCAGCTTCAATACCTATCTACATTGCCCCCAAGCTAATAAAGTGCCAGCCCTTTACCCTCTCATACAGCTAAAAATGTTAGAAATCCAAAATCTTGGTGCATTTTTTCATAAATGCTAAAACATTTAAAGAAAAATATAATCTAATAATATAAAATTCAAATAGTTTATTCACATTATTTGAAATATCCAAATGTTTGAAAATTCCCAGATAATTAACTAGCTATTACAGATCTCACCCGGAGGGTTGATGTTATGAAGACGCCAATGAACTGTACTCAGAAATTGACTGGACACCCTATGAAAGTGGGTAGACGTTTTGGTGGAAAATAAGATGGGCTTTTACCTTTTAATAAGCTGAATCTAGGAGGTAGAGGGCAGGAAAGAGCCCCATGAAAGCCGTTCTGTGGAGATATAAAAAGGATGGAAGACAGAATGCCCTATAGTGATATCATAACATTATATCTACATATATGTCTATCTATATCTATAGCTATATAATCTTAACATTTAAAATCATATTCACACACACGTTAGAAACTCTTCTAACATATGAAGTAATAAAATCAGAAAGAATATAAATATTCTAGCCCCAAATGATAAACCAAATGTATTGAAATTGTTCTAGAAAATTTCTTTGAACACTTTTGAAAGTTTTTGGTGAAACTTAGAAAAAATCCTGTGTCGCTAATAATTTCCATGGTAATACAAATAAAATACATTCTTTTAATTCTGGGAAGTTTGAAAAAGTGGGGTGATCTTTCCAGGAAAAACGTGTAATATCTATCACTCCATCTCCTCCTCTGCCGCCTCCTCCTCCTCCTCCTCCTCCTCCTCCTCTTCCTCTTCCTCCTCCTCCTCCTCCTCTCTGTGTTCTCTTGAGTTAATGTCTGGGAAAGCATGAAGCTTGATGCAAGAGCCCTGTGGTGCCAGAGTTTTCATCCCCTGTGAAAACGTAACTACAGTTGGGAGTGAATTGGGGCTGTACAAAGGTGGTGGAACCAAATTGTGGTCAATGGAAATAGGAGAATATGGTTCTCACTCTTGAGAAAAAAACCTGACTAGCCCAGGTAATTGCCCATAACTTAAGTTTTTCTGCCTGGGTTTGATATAGTTTAGGGCTGGAATTAGATTCAGATCTAAATTACATCAGGACAAAGAGACAGACTATTAACTCTGCAGTTAATTAGGAGGCATGTTCTATGTCGATTTGTTAAAGCAGTGTGAATAACCTTCAAGCATGTGAATAATCTTCTATCTTCCCCTGACACACACACACACACACACACACACACACACACACACACACACACA